GACATAAAGGTACATTTAGGAGTTAGCTGTATTTATCTGAATTACCACTTTACTACATCCAGTGACACAGAGGTGCTTTTAGAAGTTAGCTATATTTACATGGATTATGTAACAGTAAATGGCTAAGTCTGTCACTTGTATTACCTTTTTCAGTCAGTAATCAATGGCTACACACATTAGGTACTGTCTTACTATCATCAACAACTGGATTCACTTTTTCATATTAAAAATGTCCAAAAAAGTTCCAAATTTGTAATTAGTATTTTTCTTTCTCACCAATATATCAGACTATATTAGTGTCTAAAGCTGAATAAAAGTAGGGTCAGAATACCTTGTGTATTGGTACGATAACAATTAAAAACTACTACTAACAGTTTCTTACTAAACATAATTACTAGAAGAAAACAAAACTATATTTTATTTTTACACTCAAGACTTTCTCATTTAACTTTAAACATGCACTTTTTTTACTATTCAAATATGAAAACATTATGGAATTGTTTTTTGTGAATACAAAATATATCATGAAGTTACTAACGAACCAAGCTAGAATAAAAACAACTGCATAGTAATACTTTTAAACACATTCAACAGAAATACAAGTTAATACTAAAACAAACCATAGGGCCACAACACCAGATTCTTCCCCACTTATATGAGATGTTGATTCAGGTTATTGATCTACAGTATTTAATAAGTGAGATCATCATACTTATGACACATTTTTGTACACTATACAAATGTCATAAAACCTTTGAAGACTCATTTTAGAGCAATAGGTGAGAAGTTTCAATTTAACAATAATAACATCAATACTGCACAATGCTAGATTTCACTCCACCAGTAAATCCCCAGAACCTGAATCTGATTTGCATTTTTTACAGATAATCTGATCTGTTATTTTTACAAGTAATCAAAGTTAGTAATTATGGTTTCAGTCCACTATTAAATCCACAGAACCTGAATCTGATCTGTTATTTTTACAAGTAATCAAAGTTAGTAATTATGGTTTCAGTCCACCTGTAAATCCCCAGAACCTGAATCTGATCTGTTATTTTTACAAGTAATCAAAGTTAGTAATTATGGTTTCAGTCCACCTGTAAATCCCC